CCCAGCACCCCCTCCCCCCCACTACACGACCATGGGTGCTCAGGTTGGCATGCCCCCGCACGCTGGTGGTGCTCCTGGCGGACCGTATGGTCCTGGCCCTCAGCATTTCCCTGGCGCCGCTCCGCAAGGCCCCCCCGGATCTATGCAGTAGACTGCATGTGCTTACATGACCTTACGAGCTTACCCCATCGCAAGGCGTCTTGGAGTTTTTTTGGTGGAGTGGACTCAAAATGGTCATAGCTTTTCCCAGTAGTTTTAACTACTGTTGGAACAAAGGAGGATGATTTAGTCATACTTTCGGCTGCTTGTTCTTTCGCTCTTATAGGAATGAACTTCGATGATTTCGGCTTGCTTTGCCCTTGCTCTTGGTGACTTTGTGCTTCGACCTTGCGGCTTTACTGATTCCAGCATTGCGATTCAGGATTGACTACTTGTGTGTGCACTGATTCTACACTCACTGACATTGTTTCCAGAGCATCTTCAACCTCCGAACGCGTCGGTCGGTTCCTTGACGACCTGCTGTGGCCGATCACTTATATCGTTTCTCGCCATCAGATAAATGTTGGCCGTATTTCGGTCCGATGTCTTCCAGCGCCGTTTCCCCTTCTGCTCCTCTTCTGTCCGCAGAGGCCCGCTTTACCCAGTCTTAGCCCGTTCCCGTCCAGCTTCCGTTGGCGCTCTCTCAAAACTCTCTTGCAGCTCTCTCATAACTCCCCACCACGATTCTTAACCCCTTTGCTCCAGTGAGGACCGTAATAAGCCAAGCAGTTCAGTACTGGATTATCTTGGCGATGGACTTGGACAGTTCCTCCTCGGTTGCAGCGGTTGTGTGAAGGCTCGTGGGCTTGGGTCAAATTAATCGGATTTATTTCACTTCGAGCTTTTGCAGTTGTCCTTCTTGCAGGACCCGGAGGTGTTTCTTGACACGAGTTTCTAGGCAACAGGTTACCCCCTTCGCCGAGGTATGTCTGAGTGTCCAGGCGGTACAATTAATGAGTTGATGGTGCCTTGCGTGGGTTGTGGTGGGGGAGACACTCACATTGTGCTTGACGAAGTTACCCCCTACCTATGGATGGGGATTGTACGATGCTTTGGACTTGGAGAAACCAGCCCAACGGTTATTTCAGTTCCGGGAGTTTGTTTGATGCACCTTGGAGGTGAAGAGAAAGATGAGATCTTGGAAATGGAGGTGCTGGGAAGACAATTAGTGATGCAGTTACATGGCGGGCTCGAAGTCGAGAGAACTGGCCTTGCAGCCGATACTTGATACAGACAGAGGATGAGTATTGTACAATACAACTGGACATTCTTGCCGACGTCTTTGGCCTGAGGACGACTGCTTTGAGAAAGACCTCGGCTGTGTTGTTGAGGCTCTCAACTGCATCTGCAAGAGCCCGGACAGTATGAGGGGAGGGGCCTTGACTGCGTCAGGGGAATCGTCGACTGCGTCGGAAAGGCCTGAAAGTCATTTACAAATGTGTGACGGAATGAAGCGACAACAGCACGTACAGTGTAGATAGACATCCTTCAAGTTTTTGAGGAATGTGACTCGGATGACCGAAAAGGAGCAAAGGATGGCTGATACTTGAAAGCGCTGTGACTGGCTCGGTGTGTGACGGGAGTTCGGGACCGACATCATCAGGCGCGGGGTGGAATGGAGGGGCAGATATGGGTCGATATCCCTTCCTCGGGTTCTCTGCAATCAGCAAACTTGAAAAACACCCCCTCGCGTTCTCGCCATTGAAAAGAGACCTCATCGAAATGGCTCGTCTTGACCAGCTCCCGGTTGAGCTCATTCAGCAGATCTGTTCACTGCTCTGTCCTCACTGTCTGGGGTCTGACGCAGACTGGTTCAAGCCGCTTACCTTCGAGGCCGAGGATCGCATCAAGATACGGGAAGGCCACCATGCTCTCGCAGCTCTCTGCCGCACATCGGGTTATCTCCGAAGCGTCGCGGAATCCTATCTCCACCATTTCATCTATCAGTGGAAAGCCACGGAATTGTCTTTGGCCAGTACTACCCAGGCCCTGACATCCAGGTGAGTAGAGGGAAGGATGGACTATCAGGCGCCTACTAACTGCGTCACAGGCCTTACCTTGGCCAAGCTGTCAAAACAGTCGAGATTCGAGGAGACAGGGTTGGGTGTCTCTCACGCGCTTTCGCCTCCCATTTCGAAGACGTGGCAGCTGGGTACCACGTCAAACTTCCCGAAGGATGGGCCGAAAGCGACGATCCGAAAGTCAGGTCCTCCGTCATTCTTCAACTCCTTCTTCTTCATATCTGCGGTGCCAAGGATGTTTCGTTCACTCTTCGCCTCTGTGCGGACTTCGATATCCTTGAAGCAGTTCAAGCTGCCGCCGCTAATTCTGGCAACGAGGCTAGTTGCTTCCTCCCGAAACTTCACAGACTGGCAGTTTACTTTTGCGGTCCAACGGAATCTCGCCTCGGTCTCCTTGCACCTCTCTTGCGACTCGCGCCGAATCTGAGTACGCTGTGTCTCCAGGGGGCGCAAGCGTGTGAAACTGGAAGGGGGATGCGGTTGGCCGGAGTGACGATTCTGAATTTGGACATGTGCAACTTCAACCCTGACGCGTTGGCTGGTCTCATCGGTTCTTGTAGCCGCCTGGAAGTACTCAACATGAAATGGGACACCCGAGGTCCCATCGCGAACAAGTACGGCCTCCAGCCCCATCATGTCCTCGGTTCTCTGCAGAAGCACAAGGAGTCGCTGAGGAGCCTCAGCATGGATGTCATCCGCTCCGACCCGTGGTGCCCGCCAGCCGACCTGTCGCTCGTCAACTTTTCCAACCTCGAGTCTCTATGGATCAACTTCAACGAGCTCAGAGCCAGCGACGAGAATGGCTGGAGCGCAGCAGCCTTCTTCCTACCTAGGCTGTTGCCCCAGTCTTTGAGACGGTTGTATCTTTTGGATGACGCCTTGAATGTGGGGTTTGACTTCGCCGGACTTGACGTCCTGATGAAGCAAGGGGAGTTCCCAGAACTAGCAGAAATTGCCTGCTTCTACGATAGGATTGGTACTCCTCAGGCTGGCAACGTCACCACATCCCCTGCGGATGGAAATAGGTTTGTGGCACTCCGGGGTGGACGTGGGGGCTCCAAACTGGTCAAGTCTCCAAATATGTTCAATCCAATGCGATCTTGGCATTGAAGGGCGGCTGGGAACGGCGTGTAGGGTTTCTTTTGTCGAGGGGGGCTGGAGTCTGAGATGATTTATGTCAATTATTACGAAGTCTTAATCAAGTAGAAAACTAGGGGAGGAATAATACCTGGATCAAACCTGACCAGACTTGACTGATCTCTGGGTCACTGGAGGGAATAATCATAAAGGTGTCCCCTGGGGGGTAAAATGCAAGTTGTGTGTTTTCGATCGGGGATGAAGGCCCCCTGCTTGAAGAACCACACCCACAGTAAAATTGGGGCTGAGCTGCATAGGAACCGAGGAGAAACGGCCGCGAGGACTGCTGACAGAGAATTTAAATTCAAACAAACATTCTTACCCGGAGACCGATGTTGTGTTCCTGGACGGTGTTTGTGGTTTGCTGAAAGGGGAAGGGAAGGTGCTGCCCATGCCTGTACCTTGCAGACTGCGGCCTTGGTGCCCGTTTCACCGCGCCACCAACACATCTTTCACAAAACGGCAGAACTTCATTTACAAGCAGTAGAATGGAGGGTCAAACCAGAAGCCATTTGACCATGACCAAGAGATTAAACGGACTACGAAGACAACGAACTGGCGGATTCAGGAGCGTGGGATCTTCCTTCCAGGTGCCTAGAAGTTGGGATCAGGCTTTCAAGTTGCTGACGCCGTTTCCAAACAGAATACCTCTCGAATCTCACGTCGCCGAGTCCGTATTATTGCTTCGAACCCCGAACTACACCGAACGAGATTTTCTCCCCAGCAAGATAGGAACAGAAGCAGGGGTGGTCCGGTTGCTGAGTGGAAGAGACCGAGAAAGAGACGGAGCACATGGACGCAGGGAATACACGGAGCAGAATGGAAGAAAGGAATCGCATCAAAACCGCGACCCCGCATTGCGCTAAATATCCTCTTTGATTTTCACGACGCTGCGGCTTCCCGTATCCGATCGGTTTCTTGTTTCCTGCGTTGTCAGGCGCGTTCTAGAGCGTATGGAACGTCTGGATGGCCCGGCAGAGGTCCAGGATTCTATCAAAGTCACCCGGTGTAGACGACCAAAATGCAGGGAGGTATGTTGTTTTCGTTTGATTTTTCCCGGGTGCATAGCTCCCCTGACCAAGATCTGGAGGCTGACAAGCGAGTGCAACAGGTTCAAGTTCAAGCCTGCCATCGATACGGCGCAAACGGTTGGCCAGCTTGGTTGTATTTGTTCCATGGAATTCTACTATTGCGAGGTCTAATAGTAGTCCATACAGAGTGCCGAAGCCTGCGCCGAGCTTGTCGAGCGCAGGAGAAGCGTCATCTACAGGACCCAATTTTTCGACGCCGACGCTTATAAGAGATCATTACTAGCGCTACAAATCTCTCGGCGGACGAGATATATAGTTACTCCATATATGCTCGGACTGCCTCCGAGAAAGAAAATACGAAGAACTCCGTGGTAGAGACTATGGATGACATCGCAGCCTACGTCGTCCCTGACTGTACCAAAGCGGAGCCCTTCGACAACGCAGCCAACCGATACCCTCGAGACTCCCATTACCTTTTTCCGAGATCCCATTCAAGCGGTCAACATCCTCGACAATATTCAAACCCTACAATACTTGCTGCGCCGACAGGCCAACACTTCCACATCTCAACTCCCTTTCCCTCGACGCCCCAACCCCAACCCCAACCCCTACAAGTCCCAACAGCCAAGCACCAGCGGCAAGACAACCCGATACACACACCAATGCACAAGGAGTCCACCGTCTCCATCCCCCACGGACACCTCCACCCTAACCGAACCCAATCCGCCATCAAAATCGCCTAATCCCGGAGCAATTTCCAACAAATCAGCAAGGCCTCGTGGCGCAACGGTAGTCGCGTTCGACTCCAGATCGAAAGGTTATCCGTTCAAATCGGGTCGGGGTCATGCATTTGTTTTTTGCCTATTTCTGTTCCTGGACATACGGCGGGTTCATGGATACGGTGGACTTTCTTTTTGGGAGGATTTGGGAGGTTGGGTTGGGAGTGGTGCAGGGTTGTGGATGGGGGATGGGTTGCGATCAGGGGCTGTCAGAGTCGCTTTGCGCAGAATGCAAAGGGCGAGCTCATACCGCCGCGATTGGGATCGAGACGGTGCCACGAGCGGTGCACCATGTTCGGGTAATTTTATAAGGGGTTATTGATGTCTCGCCGGCGGGCAAGGAGTTTGTATGGCTTGGGAGGGAAACTGCCGCACTGGGCGCAACCCCTGATGAGGATTGAATACAGAATATCTCGGGGAAATGATTCAACGATTCAGAAAGCACCTAATTCGGTCAGGTTTTGTGATTTCAAAAGACTCGGACAATAAATTGGTATTTCTAGCATTCGTATCAAGTTCAAGACCTTCTGACATATGATGAATTGCTGACACTCATGCCCATGTCACCGTTGGTTTAAATCACCACCACTAAATCACTGACGGACAGATGCACGTTGGTTGACATCGAACTTCTTTTGGCAGGTCTTAATTTGGGCTCTTTCTGGAAGCAAACACATCTAATTCTAATTGCCTTCGACTCACCCTCGCAATCTGCAATTCCGCCTTGTGTAACTATCCCCAGAATGCCCATCCCTTTCCTCGGTGATCCGTCCGTTGGGGCTGAGCTCCTCCCCAAGATTGGCCAGGTCCCTGGAGGGATTCGCGGATCCCGTCACAGCGCGGGGCGGTCGCGCCAATGGTGACCTGCATCCAGTGCTTGTGACGGCGGGTGGATGCCGCAGGAGGAGCGGCGAAGCTGATTGGGGCTCAGCAACCCCCTGGCTTTCTTCGTGCGACCTTTGACGGTTTGGGACTGGTGCCTGGGAGGAGCTGAATGGGTTTGGTTTTAAATGCGTCTGATGACCTCCAACCGTTTTCCTTTCGACGTTGACCGCGACAATTCGGTTTTTGGGCGTCGAAAATTGTGGGAAGACGACAGAGTCTGGACTGAGAATCGGACACGATGCGAACGGGGCGATAACGACAACGACGGAGAGCGTAATCACGACTGCGCGGCTTTTGCGACGAGATAGGGGTCGAGATCGATACGGCGATTGCGCTGCGCTGCGGGGAAGCGGACGGCATGGCGCGAGCGAAGGTCCTCAACTTTGCGCGCCAGGAGGGCGAGGGCGACGGGGGCGTGATTTTCAGGCTGTCGCACGCGCTATTCCGGTTTCTCGTCGCGTTGTTCGAGATCGGCGCGTTGACGTACGTCGCGTGGGCGTACAGTCGGTGGGAGGCGGAGGCGTTGGTGAGGGTGGATATTCTGTTTCCGTGCTTCTTTCCGGTAGGTTGCCCCTGAGATGACGGTCGGCGGCTGGGTTCGGTTGGTGAGTTTGATGCTGGCGCTGATCGCGGTCTAGATCATTGTCGGCATGATCATGAACACGTACGAGGTGGTCTCGCTGTTGTGCTTCAAGCGCAGGCGGCCCATCAATCCGGTGGCTGTGTGTGTTGATATCGCTGTGGCGGGTGTCGGTGTGTTTTGCTTCGTCGCCATCAGCATGAGCGGCTATGGCGTGTATCGAGAGACTGGGGCCCAGCAGGGCAGCACGAGATGGGTTTGGGCGGGGGACATCAGTAATGTGATGATCTTCATGATGGTGTTCAGGTTAGACCCCTTTCCTGCCTGGTTTCGAGCGGTGACTGACATGTCGAGCGTACCTGTAGTCTCCTGCACGCGTTCTTCATTCTTGGGGCCGCTGCTGGGGGCGTCTATCTTGCCATTCGTCGCAAGAGGGTCCAGAGGGAGGAGCGTGTGGCAAGGAGTCAGGCTGAGATGATCCATTTTAACGAGAGGCAAAGGAAGCTCTGGGCATCGCAAGCTGTGTCCGAGCAAGATCCGAGGCAGGTTGTATAGAGCTGAGGCGTGGAAAGTGGTTTGGGGGGTCTCTGGGTGTGGGTTTCCTCCTGGCCCGATGGTTGGCTCTTGATTTTCACGCATGGGGTTCTAATAACAGCAAGCGCACCAGTCGTCCGAGCTGCACCTGCCTTGCCTCGACCCGCTAATGTTTCCACTGCTACAAGAGCACCATTTCAGTTTCTTGGCCCGATTACCATGCCCATCCACCAGGTCAGACATCTGAAAACTACAGCTTTCTTCTTCCATCCATCCATCATCATCATCACCAGCCAGTCATGTTTCCGTCCAGTTTCCCTTCCGGAGCTATACCAGACAACAGTCTCACAGAGCATCGACCTGCAGCCAAAACCATGTCGAACAAGGGTGACAGCATCAGGTCGATACCGGCCAATCACGGACAGAACGAAGAACCCGGGGCCCTTCCAGGCGTCACCATTCGAGTGGAAAGGGCAGTAAACCCCGTCGTTGACAACCAAACGCTACAACCTACCACAGAGAGATGCCACTGGCCAGGGCCCTTCACCCAGTTGATGCCCTGGGAGGAGCCTTTCTACGCATCCGATCTCCATCGTTTTGTCAACCATCTTCGTTTAAGGTACCGCTACGCCTCCCACCTCGTGGACCTCGTGTGGAGGGAGGATCCTCGGCCGGACGACGACGTCGACGAACGCTTCGGAATGGGCCCCGGAAACATACGCCACAGGGCCTGGATGGTTCAATTCCGGGCAAGGAGAATGCCCGATGGGGATCAGCACATGCATTTATTCGTCTTTGCAAAGTTCTGCGGGAGGCGAATGTGGGGCAGTAACGTCGGCTTCTACTGCCTCGGCCATGTCACCTTGGATGAACAACATCCGCGTCGCCTAGTGGAAATCCAAATTCCGACTGGTGAATTTCCGCGATTCAAAAGCAAGGTGAAGCATGAATTCAAGGGGACCTTTGGGAAATGGTGGAAACCTTTCTCACGGCTGCGATGAGCGGCAGAGTCGTGCGGGCGGATTGCTGGTCTGTTCAGCTATTTGGTTGGATGAAGAAAGCGTTGTCAGCGGAGTCATTTTCACATTGAGGGTCCGAGTTGGAGAACATCCCCAGCAGTATCAGTAGCATCATGGTCATCGGTGGGAGAGGACAAAAGCGGAACGAGGTCAACCGTGGGTACGAACCATACCGGGTAGCAATACATTGCAATTTACCCTCCCCTGGCTCGACTGCTACACTGGTGCTGCTAAATGTGGAAATCCCACCTCAACTCCAATATATCTCACCACCAAGCTGCTGAATGTCTCCAGCTTCCTTTACCCGGCCGATGCTTATACATACACACGTCGACCTCCCCACCAGCACTAATACATGTATACTGCCCTATCGTCAACCACGCCACGCAAATCAATCTGTCCCAGCCCACAACACACCCCAAATGCGTCCCCAAACCATCTTGACAGTTCTACCCCTGTTGGGCCTCTCCGCCGCCGCCCCTCCCCTTCCCCCATCTAACACTCCCATCGGCACCCCCTGCGGCCCCGACATAGGCGACTGCGCAGACCCCCTGACATGCATCCCCCTCTCCCAAAACTGCACCATCTGGGACCAGGACAGCGTCTTCCACGATGGCCCCGCGTGTCGCGGGACGTGTCAAGATCTTGACATCCAGAAGCAGAAGATCTACACGCTGTGCGGCGGTTGGAGGAGGATGGATGATTGTGACGAGGCGGTCGAGAGGTGCGTTGCCGATCCGAGACATGCGGGGGGCTGTGGGCCTGCTTGTGATGGGCCGGGGATATGTCTGCCGTTGGGGGATGTTTGTGGGTGGGATACGGGGAGGACGTGTGGAGAGGGGAGGGAGTGTTTTTTTGTGAGTATTTTTTATTTTTTTTGTTGGCGATAATGCTGTGCCTGGCGGAGGGAGTTGGTGTTGGATAGGTATAGGGGTATTTGAGGGTGTTTGCTGACAATACCATAGGGAGGAGAAGATGTCTGGACGAATGGAGTGCCTGGGAAGCAAAAGGGGTGTCAGGAGTGGGAGGAGGATGGCAAGTTGGTGAAGCAGTGTTCGGGGCAGTGCTTGCCGTTGAGGTTTGGAAGTGATACGTATGGGAAGACAGGGAGGGAGGAGATTATCACGGATCGCTGGGATGGTTGGCAAGGGCCAAAGAGATAGGATTGGTTGGAATCAGAGTTGGGTGGCTCTAGGGTACTCAGAGGTGCTACGGGGTACCCAAGGGTCAGCAGTGCACGTAGAAGGAACACGGTTTGGCCGGAATCAGAAGGGTGCCTCGAGAAATTCTCGTTGCTCCGATGCAGCAAATTCATCTTGGGTCTGCAACCTCTCTAGCTACGTGACGACCCCTGGCACCGTGGTGTTGAACCCTGGATGGTTGATGTGGCTCAGGGGCTTCCATCGCTAAAGCTGTATCCAATTCCGCGTCGACCATCATTGATAGAGAACGTATGTTCCAAGCTCCAAACCCTGCCTTCGGCTTCCTGTAGATGAATCGCGTGAATTGCGTTCCGATGGATGTCCACGAGCCCCGACCAAGCGTCGTTCAGATGGTCCGCTAACGGAAGTATTCTGACGGCCGAATTGGACGTTACACAGGGCATTCCTTGTCACAGACGTCATTCCTCCGCGGTTGCTGCGCTGACGGCTAAACGCCGTTGTATCGAAACCGTGAGCCGTCTGATGCCGAGCACGTCTTCCCTGTGCGTGGGTGTGGAAATGCCACGCGTATGCCGCCGATTATGACGTAGTGCGGGGCGGCCAAAGCAAGCTTCCAGCGAGCGACGACGAAGGCGACAGAAACGCAATGCCAGCATAAAAGGGGCCGTGGAGGATCTCTGGTTCGAGGAAGACGATCTCTGTTTGGTATCAGCTTTGCAAACAAAATTGCGAATCTCCAATCCAATCTCAGACGTACACCAAAGAGTGTTCAAAACTTCTCCATCAACCTCCACCATGAACAACAAGAACCAGAACAGCGGAATCACCGGCGCCGGCAAGCTGGTCACTTCGACGCTCGGCAACACCGTCGGAGGCTTGACCAAC